ACAGCACATCTAAAAGTGGTTGTAAAATTCAACATCTCTTTTCATCTGTACTCTGAAAGTTGGTAATTTATTACACATACAGTGTATGCTTTCATTTTTGAAAGGTTATACCAGTTTGAATTTTGGATTAGATAGGATCAATGTTTGAATTCCAAAGTTGCTCATTTGTCGGGACATTCCACAGATACTGTAGTCGCAAAATTCAGCAGGGTCTGAAAATGAATGTGGAACTCATGAAGAATGATGTTACATCCAGACCCTGACTGAAGTACCCTAATGTGTTCTGGTTCCAGGCGGGATATCCTAGTTCTTAAGGCTCCCAGGTCAGGAGGAGGAATGAACTGATTCACTGTCCTTTTGTTTTGATCACAACAAGGTTAATGTAAAAACTGCTCCCTTCCCTTTTTAATACGTTTCTATTGAAACGGAATGAAATGTGCCTGGAACATGCTACCGTTGGAGGTGTTAGAAATAGATATGACAGCAATGTTTAAGAGATATTGGGACAGACACATGACAGGCAGAGAATTAGAGGGATATGGACCATGTGCAGGCAGATGGGATTAGTTTAGACTAGCATCATGGTTGGCACAGACATGAAGGGCCAAAGGGCTGTACTGTTCTGTGCTCTATGTTAACATAAAAACCAGGAGCAGGAGTTAGCAGTTCAGCCCTTTGAGTCTGCTCTGCCATTTGATATGATCAGAGCTGGCCTCATCTTGGCTTCAGCTGCACTTTTCTGCCTGCTGTCCGACTCCCACTCTTAGTCCTTATGTTAACATAGAGCATAGAACAATACAGCACAGGAACAGGCCCTTCGGCCCTCCATGTCTTGCCAACCATGATGCTTTCTAAACTAATCCCATCTGCCTGCGCATGATCTATATCCCTTTATTCTCTGCCTATTCATGTGTCTGTCTAAATGCTGTCCATAACCCTTCAGCTCATTACAAATTAAAAATCTGTCCATCTCCTTCTTCAGTTTACACACTGTCCGAGCATCCACCACCTTATTGGGTAGTGAATTCCACAGATTCACAACCATTTGAGAGAAGTAATTTCTCCTCATCTCTGTTTTAAAAGGAGCCAATTTAACCAAGCTTTCTCAACTTCCCAAAAAGAGTGATTTTTTAAAAAAATCATTCATGGGATGTGGGTGTCACTAGCTAGCCAGCATTTATTGCCTGCCCCTAGTTGCCGTTGAGAAGGTGGTGATGAGCTGCCTTCTTGAACTGCTGCAGTTCATGTTCTGTAGATAAACGCAATGCTGTCAGGGAAGGAATTCCAGGATTTTACTCCCTCATTGACAGGAATGGACAATGGCCATTAAATATCAGGAGGGCAGACATTCCACCTTGGGTGGAGAGGGTCCGTACCAACCATTTAGTGGGTGTGTGGGTTGGTGTTGGGACCATGTCACCCTGTAAAACCTGAACCTGGCCCAAAACTACCCCCTTCATTGATTGAGATTGCTATGAACTAAGTAAAAAGTTATCCTGAGTGCATTTTTGATAATTCTGTTCCATCTGTGCCATTTACAGTGATTCCATCCCAATGTTCGGGTTGCTAAAATCCCTTAATACTGCTTTGTTGTTTCTGTATTACATTTTTTTCTTCCATCTCCCTCTGACTGGAAAATCATAATGCACTTTTAACACCATGATTGCCCTTTTTTGTTCTGCCACTCATCCCATCACACCATCTAGCTTATCATCTCTCTTCTTGGCTCTCTCTGTTTTGTTAGCCAATATATTGCAAATTCACACCCTCTTTCCCTCACTGCCTCATTTGGAATGCTGTCACTGCTACCTTTCTTTAAGCCAAGTTTCATTAGTAGCTACGATATCGTAATGCAATGTGCCTCTGAGCTCAACTGATCTGTTGTATTCACTGGACTCCTTCCTTTGAAATATGTACGATGTGCATTGCCAAATTCTTTTGATACTACTTTCTTCTCACTGCCTTCCGCATACTGTTCATAATTTTCTGCCCTCCATTTTCAGTTTTGCTCTTTCCCTTCTGAATCTACATTCACCTTCCCACTCACCTATCCAGATAAATTAAACCTTTCTCAAAAGCCCAAGTAAACCTCCCAACAGAGGTACTAGTGCCAGCTGGATGGAGGTGTAACCTGTCCAGCATGTAATGGTTCCAATTTCACCAGAAACCGTTATAATTCCCCAGGTATCTAAGATATCCTGAACCATTTGTCCAGCCAGATATTTGACTGGATTATCTTCTTGTTTCTGGATTCACGAGCTCACAGCACCAGGGGTGACCTGAGGATTTGTTTTCTTGAAATATGACTTTGGCTGTACAGGGATTGTGCAGTGGTCACTCCCACCTTTACAGATAGATTGTTAAGTGATGGGTGAGGAAAAGATCTCATAGAATTTTCTATTTTATTGATTATTCAGCATCTGACATGAGTCCTGTCAGCCAGGTACATCCTTAAGGTCTCAGTCAGTAATGGTGCTATTGAGCCTCTCAGTGATGGGCATTGAAGTCTCTCATCCCAAGTACATTCTGTGGTCTTGCTGCTCTCCATCCTCCTCCAAGTGATTTTTTAAAAAATATATAGAATTCCTACAGTGTGGAAACAAGTCCACACCAACTCTCTGAACAGCACCCCACCCAGACTCGCCTCCCTAACCTATACCTGTAAACCTGCATTTCCCATGGCTAATCCACCTAGCCTGCACAAACCTGGACACTATCGGTAATTTAACGTGCCCAATCCACTTAACCTGCACATCTTTAGACTGTGGGAGGAAACCAGAGCACCCGGAGGAAACCCACGCAGATACACGGAGAACGTGCAAACTCATACAGACAGTCACCTGAGGCTGATCGAACCTGGGTCCCTTGTGCTGTGAGGAAGCAGTGCTAGCCACTGACCCACCGTGCTGCCCATGATGCTTGATATAGAAGAGCACTGATTCGTCATTTGGTGATGAGCAGCAGGTTTCCTTGCCCATGTTTGACCTGATGCCATGCAACCTCATTGTGTCCACAGTGTTAAACATTACAATAAACAAATAACTATGATGATCTGTGCCGAAAGGAGATAAAGTTTATTGAGATAAAATTTTGTTTTGTAATATAGGTAATAAAGAGTTAACATATTCAGATGCAATTCCTTAATGCATGATTCAGGATAAGGTGTTTAATGTATCATGTGTTTGCTTTTGTTTAAAGTAGCAAACAGATTCCTAACTCCCTACCTACACTCACCTTTCCTGGCCCCATCCCCGCCTCTTCGACCTGTTTGTTTCCTCTCCACCTATCCTCTCCTCTATCCCTCTTCTATCCGCCTCCCACTCTCTCCCTATTTATTTCAAAACCCCCTTCCCCTCCCCCTTTTCTGATGAAGGGTCGAGGCCCGAAACGTCAGCCTCTCTGCTCCTATGATGCTGCTTGGCCTGCTGTGTTCATCCAGCCCTGCACCTTGTTGTAACAGATTATGGCAGTTATTTTACCTGAATGTTTATGTGTGTTACTAATATTGCACAACATAATTTCAGCCATTCATGTCTAATGTGACTACTAATCATTAAGTAAAAGATGCAGTAGAATGTTAGGGTGAGGGATCATGCCTCTGACTGTCTACAGGAAAAATTTCAGTGCTAGTTGGGAAGTGAGGGATGGAAAATGAATAGAAGCAAGACTCTTCCCTGCAGGAATGGAGAAAACTGGAGGCAAGGTTGACTTTGGCTGCTGTTGTTTTCCATCTCATGGTTGGTGACAGATTAATATTGGCAGATGTCTAGTAATAGCCACCCATCTGCCCTCTTGTAACTAATAGTATCCAAGAAAAGATGAATATTCAGACTTTGCATTCAGCTTGTTTTTGGAATACTGTGGAATACAAAGATTATGTAGTTTCATGTCCTACTATGTTAGCACTCTGCTTACAAATTATGGAGAAAAATATACATACTATATTATGCCTGGCATTCAGACTGCTAAGGAGATTGCTATGTTAAAGAATTGAAATGCGTTCTTAATGAGATGCATGGATTTTTTTTGGAATGAATTGAACACAAATACTGTTGTGTCTGTTAGATTTACACAATCTGGTTTCTCCAACTTGTTTTCTTTCATAAGTATTAAATTTGTAGTGAGTAGGAAGGCTAGAAATTGAATTAGGACTTCCCCCTCCATGGTTTATTGACTTTATCAACTGAGAAGTTGAGCAACATAGAGCAGGAAAGACCCAGAATCGACCCTAGCATATGCTGAATTCGCTGATTTCAGCCATTACAGTAGCAGGGACATGAAACATTGGCCTCAGCATTCCTGGATTATAAAGTGGAAATCACCTAAAGTTGCTGCTCCTGATTATTATCCAGCAATCCCTGTTGGATGTGATTGTGTTTGGATGCTAAATGAGGAAAGCATAATATTTATCTATAACCACAACCCCCTTCTGATGATTATGAAACAGCCTGCTTACACTCACTGTAGACATGAATAATGGCCATTTGAGCAAGGCCCTGGAGAGCACGCTGCGCCCACTGAGCCATATCCTAGCAAGGAGTCGGTTCTTTCAAGAAAGGGGAGTGGAGAAAACTGGTGAGTAAAGAGAAAAAAATGTAACATGGGGTGGGGGGGGGGGGGGAGAAAAACAGCATTGTAGAACTCAAACTCTGCCTTTTAGACATGTCTAAAAATGTGACTGGTTTCTGGTGATTGGAAACACATTACAGAGTTACTGACATTCAGCTTCAGAATACTTCAGGCTATACGAGCTGTGCTGCCATGCAAGCAATCCTTTTGTAATTCATTATGAGTACCTTTGAAAATGTCCAGTTTACTTATATTTGTTCTACACTGTAACGCAAAGCATACATTTATTATACCATACATTGCTTTGTTAAATTAACTAATGCAGAAAACAAAAGTGTCTCAAAACTGTAACTGCCTATGTTAAAAGAAAAATGCCAAGTAATTTTTTTTTAAAGAAAATGTCACGCTTATTTTATGTTTCTTTTGTTTAGGAATGTAAATTACATCACAAGCTGGCTGAGCATGATGGGGCCAGTAGTGGGACTCGATGTACCGTTGAGCTATGCCACAGCTGTATCACAGGGCATTTTTGACCCAAATTGAAAAAAGTATGTGAACACAATGTACTTATTTTTCATAATGCACTTTCAGTTTGACAATGTTTTAGCAGAAACTGATACGCGAAGTGGAATAAACCCAGTTGCAACTGAGGAATAAAATCAAGAATTGTGCTTTTCATTGTTCAGGGAATGTTTGTAACAAGAAATATAAATATTACAGCTCCCTGGTATGTAGATGATTCAGTTATCAAAAATTCCACGTCGCTTGTAAATTTTTAATGGCATGTGTTTTGTACATGAGAGTCGGGGAAGATGGAGGTTGTAATGCAGAAAGAAAAGTGGAAATGTTTTTTGAGCATAAAATGATGGTGACCTGATGAAGAATCATGGGGATTGCATAGATGTTAGTATATCAGTTATTCTAGTTTGATCGAAAAAGGTTTGTTGTTCTAGCTGTTACACAGTAGGGATTTCCTAATAGTGTTTATATAGTTTGTTCTGACATATTAACGCTTGAGCTTTTTCTGATAGACCATTAGTTCAATGTAAAGCGTTTTAACTTATTGTCTTAACATAAATGGATGGCCATCTTAATTACATAATATTAGTATTTATTTGTCATGTTGAATACTTTATTTTAAAATTTCCATTGTTCAACGACCAATAAGTGATGCTGCCCTGGTGGGTTGTTTTTCTGGCTTAACATGCTGTACCATCTTATGGTTTCATGAATGTAAGTATAGTTGAAGGACTTGACTGACTTCAAGTTCTGCACTTAGGTTTTCTGCAGGGAACAAGTTCAAGCAATTATCATCTAAGTAGGTGGTCCCTTCCCACCTCATTCCAGTGGTGGGTCACTCAAGGAAAAGAGACTGGTAAACTGAAATGTGCAGTCTGGACCATCGTGTAATCGTAACCTGGGAAGATAACTTGTGGGGAGGAATCAGGAAAATTACACAACAAAGAAAAGTAAGATTTTCCACTTCTTTTTAGGGAATGTTTGGAGTGGATAAATAAGAAAATCCAGTTGCTGTTTATTGCAGAGAACACTGAATTCTGAGAAGAAGAGCAACAATCGTCATCCAAAATCAAATCAACAACTTCTTACTGGCACTGTCAAAGCTTTGTTCTCTGTATTTACGGCTAAAGATATGCCACTCAGTAATTAGTTTGTGCTATTAAAGAAGACTTATCTTTGATCTGCAATACAATATTGTTTTAATAGTTGGCAAAAGAATCTATGTTCTCTGAACTTTAAGATATGTTGTTTAAACACTGGATGTGAAACCTAATGTGGTTGTGTATGCTGAAGTGCAGTAGAATGTACTTAACGCCAAAAGAAAGGCACACATTTTCTTTAGAAATCTTGAGCTGCAATGAAATGAAATTAAAACTGAAAATAAATTAGATCATCCTGTGAAGGGGAAAAGCAACATTTTTTTTTAAAATGTTAATAACATGCTGTATTTGTTGAATGACACCAAGGAGTTCCCATAAAACCTTCTTCTTGCTTGAAATATCTGTCACGAAGATTCAAACACATGGATTGATGTATTTTGTTTTGAACATATAGTTTACATTTTCTTAATTTTTTTGCAAGTGTCACACTGCTTGCAAGTTGAGCCTAATGTTGTCACACATTGTGCAAAAGAAATAAGTGAAAATAAGGTACTATAGAAGCTGTGACTGACTAGCACAAATGAAAATACATTGGAGCCCTCTTCAGGTCAACTTACGTTACCTCTAGAAATAGCTATAGTTTGCAATTTAAAAAGAAATAAATCATGTTTAATAGCATAAATAAACGTGTTTAATTCTGCAGTATTCTAGGACAATTTTCTTCATGTGTTTGTACTCACTGACTTATTTTACTTCCCAATGTTTAATATGTTTTTTTGGATACACACTTAATAAACAAATATTCAAGATATTGTTTGCATTTGTAATCTTGTCTGGTTATTTTCCATTTCAGGTTTTAAGTATTAATAGGTTAAGGATGCACCTATGCATATTAGCAAAATAAATGCAGTTGACTACCTTTTAAACTAAAAAAAATCAAACCAGACGTATTCATGGAAAACCTATTAAATCTTTACGTGCAGCGGATCAGTCATTAAAATAACAATGTAAAGAAGTTTAGAATTCTGAAACTGTATACCTTTAATTTCCTTCCACTTTTATTTGGCACCTTTTCAACAGAGCACAGAAGATTTAGCCAATGGAGTACACGTGTCCTGCATATATTTTAGATAAATATAAATCTGGTACTTACTAGAGGAATAGTGACAGGCTGATGCTGAGACCATGTTGAACGTAATTTGGTAAGTCTAGCTTATCAGCTATTGCAAGTACAGCATATACACGTGACAACAGGCAAAATAATTGAGAGAGTGAGCAGACTTCCGATCTTGAACCAAGGCGACTAAACAGCAATTCTTCAGTTACTTAAATGTTCCAGAAAGATAAGAAGCAAGCACCTTGCGACTTCATTAACCTTCTTCGCACTGTATCTTAAGGTGTTAAGCACAAAGAAATCACTGCGCTAACTACCTCTCTTCATTCCATGCATTTTATTTATGTCACATTAATATTATACTCTTGCACTCAAACATCTTGTTCCATTCAGATCATCATGATGGAATTTGAAATATATTCCTCCATTAGAACAATTCATCATAAGAGGGAACACTATACCATCCGTAGAGTTTTATTGAAGTGCCTATTTAACATCTGGAAAATACGTAATTAGATTAATTTTAAAAAAAAATACTTGTACATTGGAAAATCTTGAACAGTTTTCAAGCTGAAAATATTGTGTGCTAGTGTTTGTGATTTTAACTGTTAACTCCCGTTAATTTGAATACCTTTTGCCCAGATTACACTTTTGGAAATGTGTACAGTTTTATTCTGTACAATGGAACATTTAATTTTGTGATTATGGTGAGTGAAATAAATGTAGATTTCACTTCAGAAAATTGCCATTAATGTATCACAGGAAATGAGCAGAAATCTCTCACTGCAAATTCTTAATTATGAAAAATGAACAATTCAGATTCTAGTGATAAACTCTGGAAACAAAAGACATGAGAGAGAAAAAATTGACATTACTATTCATAAGATGTTTGTGAAGTCTTATTGCCTAAGTTGCCTAACATATATTATAGAATGAACATATAAACAAAAGTAAGCCATTTCACCCCTTGAGCTTTTTGCACCATTTGGTTAGATCATAGATGGCCTGTTATTCCCTTTCCCTTGAAACCATAACCTTACAAAAATCTAGCAATCTTGAAGATTTCAGTTATTCTAGTATTCACATTTTTTGGGGGCAGGCAGATTGTAAAGCTCCACTGTTCTTGTCTGGAAAAGTATTCCTTGATCTTTTCTGCTGAAAGTCCCAGCTTTAATTTTTAAAAAATGCACACACCTTCAAACCTGCTTTAGAATTCTGTTTACCTTTTTCTATTCCAGTTCTACTGATAGAATGAAAAGGTAATAATGTTCAAATGGTCACAATTTTAGATATAGTTGTATTAGGCAGGCAGTCCTTCAAAGGTTGTTTTTAAAAATCTCTTCTACTGAACAGGTCTCATTTTCCACATGTGCAAATGATTTTTATATTTGTACATGTGGGCATTGTTGGCTATGCCAGAATTTATTCATCCATAATGCTCTACAGAAGTAAACCACCTCTTGAACCACTGCAGTCCATATGGTCTAGGTACACACACACTGCAGTTAAGTAGGAAAGATCCAGGTTTTGACCGACTGTCAGCGCATGGCTTGGAGGGGAGGTTTCAGCTGGTGCTATTCCAATACGTCTGCAGCCATGTTCCTTCCAGGCAGCAGAGGTCACAGGTTTGGAAGATGTTGTCAAAGACACCTTGGTGAGTTACTACAGAGGATCTTGTATCTGGTACATGTTACAACAACTATGCATCAGTGGTGTGAATATATAATGTGCCATTCAAACTGTCTACTTTGACCTGAATAGTGTCAAGCTTCTTCATTTATCCAAATGGAGAGTATTCCATGATACTCCGTACAGATGCCATGTAAAAGGTGGACAAGCTTTAGCTAGTCAGGAGGTGAATTAGTTGATGCAGAATTCCCAGCCTCAGATCTGCTGCTCTAGCTACTGTATTTATATGACTAGTCCATTTCATTTTCTGTCCCAAAGATGTTGATAATGCAGGAATTAGTGGTGGTAATGCCATTGCATATCGAGGGGAGATGGTTCAATTCTCTCATGTTGGAGATAATCATTACCTTATGTGGTATGCATATTACTTGTGAATTAATCAGCCCATGTGGACTATAAAATTCAAACTTGCTTTGAACTTAGTGATTCAACCTGATCAGACCTATACGTTATAGCTAGCTGGAAGACCTCCAAAAATCTCACGGTTCTGAGGGATATGACTGTCTATGTGTGGGGCAGAGTTGGGGGAGAGGGAGTGCAGGGTACCTGCCTTAACAGTCGGGACCAAGAGAAAGGCTTTATTAAAATATTGCATGCCTACATGACAGAGGTCCTTTACAAAATGGGGTTTTGGGATTCCACAATTGGATACAACTGCTGTAAACAAACATCAGTCGTGAAGTTTCAGTCAATGAGTGGGAATCAGAAGGCTCTCCAGTCAAACCTGGAGTCAGGTAGAGCTGCCCTGTCCTGCTCATGTATTGTATAGAATCTTTACTAAGTCCATAAGGAAGAATGTGGGCATAGGAGGAGTAGCTTTCCAGATAATGGAAGCAGCAATATCGAAGCCTCCTTGTACATGAATATCAAAGTGTCCTCTGCTGAGATCCACAGTTGGTATACAGACTGATGAGCATCTGTAATCTCTCAAACTGTCCTTGGGGTCAAGAGAAATCAAGACAAGAGCAAGATCATATTCTTTGGGATTGGGCCAATGCGTTGTTCCCATCACTGTCAGGTCAAATTAGCTGAAAGTGCCAGGGATGTGGTTTAGAAGGGCTGGGACATACGTTAAAACTTGGAAGGCGTGAGTAGCCATTGTGAAACAAAAACTCCAGGTACTGTTACCTGGGATGTACACCAAGACAAGCCTTAACTACAGCTGGAGGATCATCAATTCAATGCATTTGCAAAGAAGGTCAAGAAATACATAGTGGTTTTTTGTTGACTTTAACCATGGGCAGCTCGATGATGCAGGGCGATGCGCTCAGCTGGTTGTTGTCAGGGATGCACTTGCAGACAAATATCAATTTGCTGAGAGACACTGTTTGGTTTACCCAAAACTTGTTGGTCTTCTAGGGTAAATTTGTCCATAACCAAGTTATGGACACAGAATGGCACGTTCCAAGGTCCAGGATACATTCGAGCTTGGGACAGCTATTGCCAAGGCATAATTAGGAAAGGCCATCATCTAATGTCTTTCAACCATCCTACATCCAGGGGCTTGGAATTGGGTGTACCCAAGGTTTTGACATATAATGAATCTTGTAAATATTAACAATAAGAAATGATTTGCTTTGCACCTCATCTAATGTCATCTGTGAATCGTCAAATAATTTACTTTAATGTGGTGAATTAAGTTTATTTTTGGAAAAAGACCTCATGACTGCTCTATGAGTCTTTTCCAGGAATTCACCTGGGGAACCTTCAACTTGATCAAAGACAATTTTTGGTCTGCATGAAACCTTTTGGTCTTCAATGCAAAGTATTGCCCATGACTAAGCCTTGCAGACTGGTACATTTCTATGTCCAAGATAATGTGAACTGCTTGGGTTAGATCATTGTCCGATTGTGTAGCATTTATATCATAAATATCACACGAGAATACCACATCATATATGGAAAGAATTTGATCTGCAACAGAAGTGCAATAGTATATAATTTGAACTGTTACAGAATGTAATTTCCATTTATTGATGAATAAGGTATATTTCTTTCAAAAAAGAAATTCTCCACCATTGTGACAACCAAACATATTAGCTACTAACAGTCCCCATTAACAGCTATTCATTCTCCTAGGCTGACCGTTATCCAGTCCTTTGGCTGTCTAAGTGTTCTTCTCTCTCTTTGGGCTCTACCTCCACCCATTGTTTACTCCTTACCCCCTTACCCCCTCCCTAACTTCTGCTTAAAAAAACATTTTCCTAGCCACCAACAGTTCTGAAGAAGGGTCACCGGACCCAAAACGTTAACGCTGATTCCTCTCCACAGATACTGCCAGAGCTGCTAAGCTTTCCCAGCAACTTCTGCTTTTGTTCAAGTGGAATACCATCACACACCTTCCTTTAGTCAGAAAATCATCTGTTTACCACTACTCAGTTTCCTGCGACTCAGCCAATTTTGGACCCATGTTGCCACATTCCCTTTCCAAAGTTTTAACTTTCCTGGCAAGTCCATCAGGTGGCACTTTATCAAATACTACACAGAAGGCCATGTACACCAATTCAACTGCAAATCAATGACTCTGAAGACTCAAAATCATATCCTCTGAAGAGGTCTTACTGGACTTGAATTGTATGCTTTGTTTCTCTCTCCACAAAGCTGCCAGACCTGCTAAGTTTCTCCAGTACTTCCTGTTTTCATTTTAATTTATGAATGAACCTTTGAAGAATGATGGGCAGGTTGATGGCAGGTAACTGATGAAAATCTACCTTGCCTCCTTTATGTGATTTCGTGGCCATTTTTATTGAGCAGGCTTATAACTCAAATTTCCTGTGTTTCTGCAGATTCCGAACAAATATAAATTTTGTTTTGTCAACTGGTGGGAGGCATTTATCAGCTTCGTTTCAATTTATACTCAGGATTACAAAAGCAATCCTCAGTCTGGCAATTCACTTTGACATAATACCGGATTTACACATTTAGTGAAAGAAGTTTTTAGAAAATTAAATCTTATGTAACTGTAATATCAAACAAAG